CTAATAGCGATCTGTGAGTTTAGTGCAAAAACGCATGATCGCACTGGGGAGCCTGGTGCGTTCCAGTCTGGGTTTATTAGGACCTTTCTTGTTTTTTTCCATAGGTCCAGATTTTTATCTTTTTGATTGCTTTTTTTTTGCTTTAATTCATTGGCTCGGTTTTGTTCAGTTCTTGCCTCGAGCTCCTGACTTGTATTCTCGTTCCCCCTTTTCTATCCTGTCCCCAAAACCTGTCTGGAAAGCAACACCTGAGCACCTTTTCATTCCCACTATAAGAGCACTTTGGAAGCAAGCAATATTTCAGCCCTTTCCCTATTCGTGACAGTAACCAGCAGCTTAATTTCTCCTCCTTTTCGCCCATCACCTCTCCCCTCTCGCTCTTCCGCTCTCCAAATGTACGTGTCCTAGTCAACCAACAAAGGATCTACGCCCACGTAGCCAATAAATCTAACCAACAAAGGATCTACACCCATGTAACCATTAAATCCAACCGACAAAGGATCTACGCCATGTAGCCATTAAATCTACTTGTCCCAGTTCCCCTCCCCTGCCTTGAACGAATCCCGTAGCAAACCCACCCATCACATTCAAACAGCCGCCACTCGCCATTGGGTAACCCTACCCTCCACTGCCAGGAAAAAATTTTTCGCAAATCGTGTATAACGGCCGGCCGAGCCGAGTTTTAGGAATAAAGAGGGGTGCTAGGGTGAGGTTTTAAATACGGGGGTTCGGGCTGGAGAGGGTCTTTCGAGTTCATGCTTCGTTTTGTGTCATTTTAGTACGGTTTGTGCAGAAATTTCTCCTTTGCTTTTTGGGAACTGCTTATGTTTGCGATTGAGGATCAGCCACAGCTCATAGGTGTTCAAGATATCTCGGGTGCTGAGGATCGTGATATTTACCAATATCTGCTCGCATGTCAGCTCAAAACTCTTACTAATAGCTTGTGCCACCCGTTGCTTATTTGGAGGCATACTTCAGTTGTGGTAACGGTAAGAAATGTATACGACTTAGTGGACCGAAACATTTCTGACCAATTTATAAAATTATTAATATCTCTCGCCCCCTCCCCCCGCTTTCTTCTGTTGTGTTTGTGTATTAATTCCTTTTTTAAATATCGGCTTTTCTTGCATTTTTGATCACCAAAATCACTGTTACGTGTGCTGGCAGCCAGTGCACGAAAACATCAGATTACAGGCATTGTTGACATGTTACCTGTAATCTGATTTTTTCGTGTGCTTTTTCTGGCAACTACTATAACTCGACTGGGCTCGGCTCGGCCGGCGTCATACACGATCTGCGAACGATTTTTTTCGGGTGGCCGGGTCACCTTACAGCAACGTGTCTACCACGGGTTCATTTTATTGAAATAAAATAAGTAGCTTTTTTTTAAAGTCTCTAGAAATTCGAAGCAATTTGGCTTGACGTTCTGGCGTAGTGCAGAAACCCCAGGCTGTTGA